CACACACACACACACACACACACACACACACACACACACACACACACACACACACACACACACACACACAAGTACGTAAAGAGACATTTAAGAGGGTTTATTCTCCAAATAACTCTAACTTCATGTTGCAGAAAAATGTGTTTAAAAATTGTGTATGGTCCATTGTTCTTGTTCCAAGTTACCTTCCTATCCACTAATTTTTTGCCTCTTACGAAAGCCACAAAGCCTTCCAAGAAGACAGTAAAGGCTTATGTCATGCTTGAGCTTTAGTTAGGCTGAAACTTTAAAGTTAAGTTGCAATGCAATGCAATGTTTAGGTATTATTATTATTTTTATTACTATTATTTTGATTTATGCCTTAGTTTTAATTTGTACCGTTTACCTTTTTTAAAGTAATGTGAAATGTATATATTTTTTATTTTATTGATATATTTGTATTTGCATTTTGAATGTAATTTGGCAATTAAATGCAATAAATGGGTTTAGTTTTCACGGTTATTAAAGTATGCAATTTCAGCAATAAAAATGTTAATTTTTCTAAAAAGAAAACAAATTAGCTGTTTATTTTAAGAGATCTATCTTATCATCTCTTGTATATTTAGTATTGCTCTTTAATAAAGAAAAATTACTTCTTATTCGATTAATCGATGGAATAATCGGTAGAATACTCGATTACTAAAATAATAATCGACCGCTACAGCCCTACTCTAGATCCTGTGCAAGCATCTTTACTCCACATCTGTGTACCTGCACTCGATTTAGGCCAGATCTAAGTTAATTAGCGTATTAAAGCAACCTCATATCTGATTTGTGTGTAAATGTATAACGTTACCCAGGGCTACAATAGAATTCTCTAACGTTTGTCCTGTGTGTGTGTATATATATATATATATATATATATATAGTGTAATTTAGAGTATATGCGTGTGTTTATTGTACGTACCTTTAGCCAGAGCTACAGTGCTGTTCTCGGTGTCGATCGTGTATAAAACTCCCTCATATCGGATCTCGGCCTTTGAGATCAGACTGATCTTGCTGCCGATATAAGGCGTCCCTCCGCTCATCTTTCCCCCGTGCGGCTGCTCGGCTGCTCGGCTCCTCTGGTCTTCTTTGCGTACGGTTTTATCGGACTGAAGGCTGCTTTTCGGTAATTCGGTGTCGTTTTCTTTCAGCCTGGATTTAGCACGACATGGCCGAATTAATTTTCCTCCGCACACTGAATCGACTCGAGATGCATGCTGGGAAACGCGCCCCCTCCCTCACGGTGGTATCGCGAGACTTCGCGGGATTTCAGTATGACTCCCGTTACATTGGGAATTATGTAAGAGGCGAAATGCGATTTAAACGCTGTGGGAAGTAAATAATTAGAAGTTCTTACTTAAATGGCTATAAAGGGATTATTCTATATCCCCATGCACACGTGCATTTGTACATTATATTATAATATAAAAGTTAAAACAATAATCCCTGAAATCTCGCCCGATCAACAGCTCCTGCAAGTTATTATTAAAGTCTGTGAAACGGTAATGTCTGATCAGAATGAACTTTATGATCTCAGTTATAGCCAATGAGGAGAGCTGAGGCATTTGTTGATGCACAATTACATATATTACATATGGAACTGAAGGATTATTTGATCATAAACCGACTGAAACATCAGAGCAATAACTACACATAATACACATAACAGCTTAATAATGTAATTCCAAGTATTGAATTCACATGCTACTCTTTGAAATTTCTGCATCGTTTACCCGATTTTACTTTGAATTCTGTTTCTCTTGCTGCCTGGACCCAGCTAACAAGAACAAACATTCTTGCAGTAACGTTAATGGAATGTTCGTTTAAAGTATTCTGCTCTTTAATAACGTTTTCAAAACATTATCATGAAAACATTATTTATACATTGTTTTCTGAAACGTTTTAGATTGACGTTCGTCTAGCGTTTTTCTTTTTAAATGTTACTTGTTTCAGAACGTTCAGAGAACATTCAAAAGTAACATTCCCATAATGTTTGCACAATTCTAAAATGGAATGTTCCCTTAACATTCGCAAAACTAAGAAAAACGTTTCTAAAACATTTTAAAACGGGATGTTTTAAATGCTCAGAGAACATTTTCAGAACTTAAACGCTCTTAGAACATATTTTCTTAGCTGGGGACCTTTTATTAAGACAGAGAGAGACAGAATTCATATTAATAACCAATGGTATCTGTAATTGTATGGTACTATCTATCTATCTATCTATCTATCTATCTAATCTCCGTTCCCTCCAACTCGTGCAGTATCTTGAGTTGTAACAGGGGAACAACTGTTTGGTTTTGGCCCTCTGACGTCACATCCATTCCCACAATGCCATAGTAACACGACTGCGCACTCGCGCTCGTGGACGCGCACCAGCAGACAGCCCATCACACACAGAGCGAACATGGCGGGCGCCTCCGACCCTCTGGAAGACATGCTCTTCTCCGAGGTGGACGAGAAAGCTGTGAGCGATCTGGTGGGCTCGCTGGAGTCTCAGTTGGTGGGCCAGAGCGAGCCGCCCGCCGCGCGCCAGAGCAGCGCAAAGCAGCAGCACCGCTACAGCCCTACTCTAGATCCTGTGCAAGCATCTTTACTCCACATCTGTGTACCTGCACTCGATTTAGGCCAGATCTAAGTTAATTAGCGTATTAAAGCAACCTCATATCTGATTTGTGTGTAAATGTATAACGTTACCCAGGGCTACAATAGAATTCTCTAACGTTTGTCCTGTGTGTGTGTATATATATATATATATATATATATATAGTGTAATTTAGAGTATATGCGTGTGTTTATTGTACGTACCTTTAGCCAGAGCTACAGTGCTGTTCTCGGTGTCGATCGTGTATAAAACTCCCTCATATCGGATCTCGGCCTTTGAGATCAGACTGATCTTGCTGCCGATATAAGGCGTCCCTCCGCTCATCTTTCCCCCGTGCGGCTGCTCGGCTGCTCGGCTCCTCTGGTCTTCTTTGCGTACGGTTTTATCGGACTGAAGGCTGCTTTTCGGTAATTCGGTGTCGTTTTCTTTCAGCCTGGATTTAGCACGACATGGCCGAATTAATTTTCCTCCGCACACTGAATCGACTCGAGATGCATGCTGGGAAACGCGCCCCCTCCCTCACGGTGGTATCGCGAGACTTCGCGGGATTTCAGTATGACTCCCGTTACATTGGGAATTATGTAAGAGGCGAAATGCGATTTAAACGCTGTGGGAAGTAAATAATTAGAAGTTCTTACTTAAATGGCTATAAAGGGATTATTCTATATCCCCATGCACACGTGCATTTGTACATTATATTATAATATAAAAGTTAAAACAATAATCCCTGAAATCTCGCCCGATCAACAGCTCCTGCAAGTTATTATTAAAGTCTGTGAAACGGTAATGTCTGATCAGAATGAACTTTATGATCTCAGTTATAGCCAATGAGGAGAGCTGAGGCATTTGTTGATGCACAATTACATATGCTAACAGCAGAACTGAAGGATTATTTGATCATAAACCGACTGAAACATCAGAGCAATAACTACACATAACACGGTTTAAAGCTTAATAATGTAATTCCAAGTATTGAATTCACATGCTACTCTTTGAAATTTCTGCATCGTTTACCCGATTTTACTTTGAATTCTGTTTCTCTTGCTGCCTGGACCCAGCTAACAAGAACAAACATTCTTGCAGTAACGTTAATGGAATGTTCGTTTAAAGTATTCTGCTCTTTAATAACGTTTTCAAAACATTATCATGAAAACATTATTTATACATTGTTTTCTGAAACGTTTTAGATTGACGTTCGTCTAGCGTTTTTCTTTTTAAATGTTACTTGTTTCAGAACGTTCAGAGAACATTCAAAAGTAACATTCCCATAATGTTTGCACAATTCTAAAATGGAATGTTCCCTTAACATTCGCAAAACTAAGAAAAACGTTTCTAAAACATTTTAAAACGGGATGTTTTAAATGCTCAGAGAACATTTTCAGAACTTAAACGCTCTTAGAACATATTTTCTTAGCTGGGGACCTTTTATTAAGACAGAGAGAGACAGAATTCATATTAATAACCAATGGTATCTGTAATTGTATGGTACTATCTATCTATCTATCTATCTATCTATCTAATCTCCGTTCCCTCCAACTCGTGCAGTATCTTGAGTTGTAACAGGGGAACAACTGTTTGGTTTTGGCCCTCTGACGTCACATCCATTCCCACAATGCCATAGTAACACGACTGCGCACTCGCGCTCGTGGACGCGCACCAGCAGACAGCCCATCACACACAGAGCGAACATGGCGGGCGCCTCCGACCCTCTGGAAGACATGCTCTTCTCCGAGGTGGACGAGAAAGCCGTGAGCGATCTAGTGGGCTCGCTGGAGTCTCAGCTGGTGGGCCAGAGCGACCCGGCCGCCGCGCAGCCCGAAAACGCTCGCCCGGGCAGCGCGAAGCAGCAGCAGCAGGCAGGAGGAACAGCGCAGCTGTCTGCTCCTATAGGCTCTCCATCAGAACCACAACAACAAGCACAGCAGCAGCAGAACGCGCGGAAAGCTGCGCGCAACCCGGATTCCGACCCGAAAGACGCCAGCATGGAAAAGCACGCCAAAGCCCTGGAGAAGGAGAGCCCTCTGAAGTCGCATGGCAGCATCATCATCATCACTACGGCAGCAGCATCCGACGCTCCCGCACCGGGCAACAAAGGTGAGAGCCCGAGGGACACCCGCAAGAAGCACCCGGGGAACACGCGCGCGCTGCGCTCCCCAGCATCCCACAGTCTCAACGGCAACGGAGCCGACGCAGCATCAGCATCACCCAGCTCCTCCAGCCCGAGCAGCACGACTTTCACCGTGTCCAGTAACCCGCAGGCGATCGCGCTGGACCGCGGGACGCCCACCATCGCGCTGCACCGACTCCCGCGTCACATCATCGCCAGCATCGCGCAGAATGGAAACGGCACGTCCGTGTCCGCGCTGGTCCAGCAGAGCGCGCGGATCGGAGAGGCGGGCGCGCAGGTCAACCACAGCACACCACCCGCGGACGCACCCGGGAACAACGCGAAACCCGCGGCGACCTCGGCTCCTCCCGCCGCGGCCACAGCAGCGCTTGTCAAACCGGCTGTCGGTGTCAGTGCGGCTCCGGCCATCAGACCTGCGCAGCAGAGGGTCGTAACGCCGCAGCTGATTGTCAGACCACCGCAGCAACAAACTACAATACAGCTGCCGCCCGGATTCACCATCCCACCAGGTACTTACGACTTACTAGTGCTCGATGTGCACTGCCTACTCTACTCTGACTCTTTTCCACATGTTAGAATAACAGTAAAGTGATGCAAACTCTGAAATAACACAGCTGGAAGTCTGGGTGTGATGTAGTGAGCAAAACACGTGACCCACATGAAAACTCCCTAATATTTGAGCGTCTTGATTGTTATTCTGCACATCAGTCAACTGTTAACACATCAGTAACACTGTTCTGCTCTTTAACTTGTGATGAGCACTTGTTGATGCTCTTCCTTCACTATCCGCTTTAATTGATCTTTTTCAATTCCAATCCAAATGAAATTCAAATGCAGGCACAATTTATATTTGTCTACAAGACTTTCAAGCATTTAAACAGAAGCATTTAGCATAAAAAATTTTTTTTCTGACATCAAGGCACATAAATAGTTTCAAGTGTGTCTAAACATGAACACTTAAACATTTTGGTTACATCATGGACCAAAAAGTGTTTTTCCCCTTTAAGTTGAACTTTTGAAAGACTTCAAAAACTTTATTAGCCAAATATCAAATAAATAGTTAAATAAATACAAATAAATTCAGTGGCCCCAAAAAGTATTTAGACACTTAAGTGACACTTATAAATATGTGAATGCCATTTATTCATGTCTTTATCAACCATCAAAGTGTTTTTTTCTCAGAAATGACTAAATTTCAAACTTTTTTTGTCAGATGTTTTGCTTGAGAAGTGTGTTTCAGACAGACATATGCTTGCTTTGATATTTTGTTATGTAATATCATGTTTTGCATATAATATAGTGACACTCAAAGATTTTAAAGTGTGACTCAAGTCTCCAGATACTTTCTCTATGAATTATGTATACATTTCCAGTATATGTAAACAGACCTCACACCAGATGATGTTGATGTAAATTGCATTTGTGAGTTGATCAAATGCTTTCTGGAGCTGCAGCATTGATGTTCTCGTGCTTCAAAAAACCCAGAAGGTGCTGAATGGTGAAAATTTATAGATGAGATCTGAACCTAAAACATGTCTGGAGTTTAAATGATAACTATTTGCTGTGGATGAACTTTACATTGGTGCATTTAGATGCTGACTGATGAGTTTGATGGTGATGACGTGCAAAACTGAGTCAGTTTGGACTCCCCAATGAGCAGAACGTAGATCAAAAAGTGACTTGATATCTTACAAGTGACTTTCAAATGATTTATCATGAATCAGTAGTTAATTTGCCCTTTCTGTCAGTACAAATATGAAGCCTTAGACAGATTCACCTGTTGCCTTTTCACTCTCTGACTGAGTGTGTTCAAGCACTAGTTGATGAAACCAGTGAAATCTGAACTTTAACTGAATCATTATTTCACACTAATATCAGGAAAAAAGCTGTCTGAGTTTAATTGTGTGATCTGCGGTTTAATGGGTCGGTGATTTTGTTTTATAAGAACAAACTGCTTTTTTTAATACACCTTAACATCCTACAACACTCTGAATGTCTGTAGTGCAGCTTAGATGGGTCGTTTACATAGAGCATGTCCAAAGAAAAATTATTTATATAGCACATTTTATACATTTTTCTTCACATAATAGAACTTAAAAATAATCTTAAAACAATTATAACAGAATACATATGAAATAAAAATAACAAAAAGTAAAAAAAATAAGCATTTATGAAAAAATAGATTTTTTTAATTAGAAGAATATTTCATGAATCCATGAATTTCTAACAATATTAAAATGTAAAATAATCAGTATCAGTATTTAAAGTGTATATTTCAGGTCCAGGTCACCATTTCTTTTCTCATTCAATTTTTCTCCATTTTTTTTTTCAGCTTGAGAGTTCACTAGTTTATTTGATATAGTCCGGTGGTGTGATAAATGACAGGACAGTGTTGCATTTAGTGTTACAAATACTGTTAAATCTGCATGCATAATATTATCAGAAGACTGAACAAATGAGGTTTAAATGAGAACGTGAGTCACAATACACAATGTCAGCTTAATAGAAGTATTTGAAAGTGAAGTGTGGTGACCCATACTTGGAATTTGTGCTCTGCATTTAACCTATCCAAGTGCAGACGCACAGTAGTGAGCACACACCCCGAGCAGTGGGCAGCCATATTGCTACGGTGCCCGGGGAGCAGTCGGGGGTTCGGTGCCTTGCTCAAGGGTCTCACTTCAGGCGTGGTATTGAAGGTGGGAGAGAGCGCTGGTCGTTCACTCCCCCCACCTACAATCCCAGCCGGACCTGAGACTCGAACCCGCAACCTTCGGGCTACAAGTCCGACTCTATCCATTAGGCCACGACTTGACCCCTTGTCATTTACTCCAATGCTCTTTTTCATGTATCATTTCAGGAAAATCCATGCAGATAAAGACATTAGACAAACACATGCAAAGAATAATAATTAGTCAGAATCTGAATTAAAATTTCACAATTTTGGTTTCAGAAAAATCCAAAGCTTCAGCTGTTGATTGATTGTAACTTTTCATGCACATTGATGCATGAACATTTTCATTGATGTTTCATGCACTGATGATGCTTCTTGTGATGCTTTGCTATATATTTTTATTGAATATTGTTTAAAATAGATGTTTAGCATGTCACAATACACATTCTCAACTTATTAAAATGATTTCATGTCGTTTACCCAAATGCTATTTTTAATTGATTGTTTTTAGGGAAATGCATTCACATAAAGACATCAGACAGATATATGCAAGATAAAAACAAAACAAAAAAACATAATTATTACTTAGAATCTGAATTACTCAGTTTAGATTTGCTTTGTTGATTGTCATTTTTTTCATGCATGGATGAGGATTTTTGTGATTCTTTGGTGAATAACTCGTGTGTGTTTCAGGTATGGTGCTGGTCCGGACGGAGATGGGTCAGCTGGTGATGGTTCCTCAGCAGGCTCTGGCTCAAGCTCAGGCCCAGAACAGCATCTCACCGCGGCCCTCCACTCCCACCAGCGTGGCCACATTCAGGGTCACGACCCCACAGGTACAGCCCGTAATGCTCTAGAGTCACAATAAATCTGACACACAGATGCCATTTCTCTTAAACAGGATTTCTGAAACTCAAGAACGACATTTTTCCCAAACCTCACGCTGGAAAACTCAAATGACATCAAGCTGTTTGAATTCAGACCAGATGCATTTCAACAAACCTTTTTTATTTAATACTTTTTTTTATTTTATTGTTTTTGCAAAAGCAAAATTGCAAAATGTTTCTGTGTCACTGAAAAATATCTGCTGAGAGATTGAACACCTCTACAAATTACAGATCTGTTTGCTTGCTTTTCCTGATTTAAAAGTTATTTTACCTAAGATTGAAAGTCAAGATCATACATTTTAAATCTCTCTCTTTTTTATTTCCAAATGTAGCTTTGATGAAAGGAAAATATTATTAATAATATTATTACAGTAACTAGTTACTAGTAACTGGTTACTGCCCAACACACATAATCAAATCATCTGCACAGCAAACACAGTGAGACGGTAACTGCTGTCAAAAAGTGGAATTCTGTGAAATCTTCATCACTCTGTGATGAAATAAAGACACACAGCAGTGGAAACGAGTGATGAAATTCATATTGTGATCAATAAACCCACTCCTAATGAAACGGCAGGTAATTTGATATGTTAAAAATAACCTGTTCACAGATGCAAGGAACTTCTGCGTAATTAAAGGTTATTCACACTAGACACTTATTATAATTTGATTCGTAAGCAGTGAGCAGAAAGCACTTCTGTGACACATTTGACTTGTTAAACAGATTCCATAAGACACAAATTGGGAAACACTGATCAAAATACGTCAAATTATGCATAAATGTTTTGGCCTAAAATTAAGATTTATGTATTTGAATCTACATATAAAATTTCCATCCATTTGGATGACACAGGTTTAACTTAAACTAATAAACTGATGCATATTTGTCTGTCGCATGTATTTGTTAGTAATAAATGCATACATTTGATCTAATTGAATATTGCTTGCCCATATTTAACAGCTAGCTATATTTATGCTTTTAAACTGAATAAATGTTATTGTTTCCTCAATGAACAGATTTATGCAATTTGAATAAATCCATTTTCAAAATATTAAAAACAAAAAGGTGCAAATAGTTAATAGTAAACTATGCCATGGTGTTTTTGAGTGCAGAAATCCGACCTGTTTCATTTATGTAACACTGACAAACATGCATCACATTAAGTTTATTAGTTTATGTTAAAACTGTGTAATACATGGAAATTTATATGCAATAATAATAAAAAAAAATCTTAACCTCATAAACACAGCAGAGGTCAAACTGAGTGTTGCCTGTCAAACATGCATTTGATGAAAGACATTTGCACCTTCTTTTTGAAACTCATTGATCAATATAAAAGATATATTAAAGGGGTCATATGATGCGATTTCAATTTTTCCTTTCAGAAACTTTTCACTATTTTAAACAATTCACTATTTTCTTGTGCATTTTTTATACTAATTTTAAAACATCAGTGTGCAGAAATTATTTTCACATTGACCATCTGTACACTATTAAATCTTCTGAACTATTTTTCTTCAGTCAGAGTTTTGATGGATGAATGTACATGAGATTCACTGCTGACATCTAGTGGTGTGCTTCAGTCAGTGCATCTCAAGATCAAATTAATTCATTTCTTCTCATGCAAGCAGATTTACAAGGAAAAACAACTCTCTTTCTTCAGTGTTTTGTACGTTAAACACTGTGTTATCTCTTTTAATAATTTTGTTTCAAATGCATTGCTTCTTCAAAGTTATATCAAACATGAATAAGTACATAAGAAAATCCTGTTAGCTGGTCTTTGCCATTTTTCTGTTCACATATTAATATCCTTCAACAGAATCTAATATGTATATATGTATTAGGATTTTTTTAATTTAAATTTTTATTTGAGGATTAGAATTTACAGTATATGGCCACAAGAAGGCAGCAGCCGTCATATTTGTTGTTTGTTATATTATTTTAGTATTTTTCTTTTTCAAATTATGCAAAAAACGTAATAACGAGCAATGCGTATATTTATTTCTTACGATAATAAGATCAGAGTAGCTTGTGTAATATAATGTAGCTCTAGTGTGTGAGAGTGTAAGGGTCGCTCATTTCCAGCAGATGGCGCCAGACGCTCGCATTTATTAGTGGCTCAATGGTTTAAATCCATACTGATGTTAATAATGAATCAGGCCATTCAAACGTTTATACAACATTGCAAATAACAAAACATTTAATTTCTGATGTGTTGCAAATTAGTATGTTTTAACATTTGCATTAATGCATTAGCAGACGCTTTTGTTTGAAGCAACGTACAGTAGAGGATGAAAGGCAATTTGTCATAGAGCCAATAATATTCGCAGTACACAATGGCAGGGAAGCTAGATTAAGAAACAAGCTAAAGCAGAGAAGAAATGCAGAAAAAAGAAGAGTCTTTTTTGTGCAACCAACCATTAAGATCAAAATGATCATGCTATAGGCCTATTTTTGATTTTGTGCCTCTAGAAACAAAATGTAAAATATCATAATTAGTTATTATTACTACAGTAAAATCCTTTCAGTCAGTTGTAATGGTCATGGTGCATGACTAATACTTGCTACCGCAGTTTGATTCTAGTAATTTTGCAGTAATTCACAATACAGTAACTATATATTGTGGTGTAAACTTTAAAGTTTAAGTGTATAAAGTTTACTGCAGTAATGTGTTTCCTTGATAAACTCTGTTAAGGACAGTGAGGTGAGGGTTTATATTCCCAGGCGTCTCCCTTCATCCTGCTGTCAGTCATTCTCCGGTTCTCTGCGGCGGAAGACGTTCCTCTCTCCCTCCGAACGCGTTTAATCATTTATCCTCCAAGCGGAGCGAGAGACTCGTTCTGATGGCGTCGCCATCAGTGTGTGTGTGGCCCCGAGTTCTTCCGTGTCTCAGGGGCCCTCGGGCGCCGCTCTCTCAGTAGGGGCCCAGAGACGAGCATCTGTGAGGAGAGAGCGCGCGTTGGCAGTGACGCTGTTAAACTGTGGCTCAGTGCCTCGTCTCGCTCACGTGATTATTACTCCTCACATCACAGCGCTGCCCCTCAGCGGCGGGATTTTCACCCGTGTGTCCCCCTCTAGACACAATCATATCAGGGTTTGCAGTACAAGAATGATCTCAGGATGCCCGGGTCATCATAATTCACCTTCAAATCACAAGAAATAAGAATGAATATATATTCCATATAATTGCATATAACAGTTATTTTGCATATTTTAGAAGTGAGGAATTATTTTATATAAGAACTTAAATTATTTTATATATTTAAGAATTATTGTGCATGTTTTGAATAATTTAGAAATAAGAAATTATTTTATATAAGTTTTTTTTTATATTTTATACATTTTCATGTATAAAATATAAATATGATAAATATTCATAAATATGATTTTTTTTCAGCATATTTAAAATTTTTAGATCTAAGAAATTATTCTATAAAGAACTTTATATATTTTATATCTAGGCTAAATAAAAGGTTCAACCGAGTGTATAGGAGGGTGAACTCAAAACTATATTGTATATATTTAAGAATTATTATGCATATTTTGAATGTTTTAGAAATAAGAAAATGTTTATGTAAGAAATAAGA